GACACAGTCTGAGACAGACTAAAAGGTATCAAACATTTATTTTACATATTAATTCAATGGATTGGCATTAGGGGCATTATATCCTTCCCTTTTATGAATCCATTTACTCTTCGTTTCCACAAAGAATCTGGCGGAACTTTGGAATAAATATCCAAGTGATCCAATAGCTCTAATAAAAGCTAAAAATGCAACTGTCCATAAGATGAAAGCTAAATAGATATTTTGCTTTGTTTCCCCTGGTCCATAGACTTGCAACATAGTTAAGATGAACACCAAGTTACAGATTAACCAAGTTAAAACAACTTTAGTTCTAACATCTTTAGCATAATCTTCACCATCAATGACTGGAGGTCCTGAATTGGTTGACATAACTTTCTTATTAGATCTTTTAGCTCTGATGTTATATAAAGCTTCCAAATAAACTTCATCAACATTAACTTCAAGAACCACTGCTTCGAATTCTCCTTCATCGTTCTTTTCAATAATATATTGATTACTCAAATCTTCCTTTGGATTATTATCACCTTTAGTACCCCATGAAACATCATGGGTGTTACAGAATGCAAAGATTTGTAATGTACAAGTATATGAAGGTACCATCAAGAAATATTGCATTGAACAAGTTAACATGTGCCATGGATCCATGTATAAAATGGACATAATAGTATATAACCCATAAGTTGATAATAATGAAACAACTGTACCTATCATTATATAAGATGATGATCCACCTAATGAGAATTGTTTAATGGTATTAACAACGAAGAATATACCAACAATCAATGCATAACAAGCACAAACAGTTAAAAGGATCATTAAAGTCTTAAAAATGGTTTTAGATCCTTGAGGTCTATTACCAATGGAAACAATGAATAATGAACATAAAACACAGATACATAAGTAATTAAAAATGGTAAAGATCCAGAACCCTCCATTATGTTTAATCAAATCTAATAACGACCCTGTTAAAAAGTAGAAAGTCAAGTAAAAGTTACTTAAGGAAAAGAATGAAAATAAAAGATTAATCGATTGGTACATGAATTCAACATGTAACCAGAATTTTCTACTGAATGAATGATCAGTATACCAAATTTGTCTAGATTTACTTAATGAATATAAAGCAGCAAAGAAAGCTCCATTAATCCATCTTCTTCTTTGTGATAAAAATTCAGGAACTGTTTCTGGAACATCAGTTTCGGCAGTAGCATTCTTAACGAATTTCAAAACCCAATTTTCATTTCTTTTGGCTACTAATTCCCAACATAAGATTCTATCTTCAGCTAAATACATATTAGCTTCGAAGAAATTGGTTTTAGTATTGGAATGAGCTTTGGTGGTGTTCAAGATATCTTCACCTTTGAAATATGATGCTAATGGACCGGTTCCGTCAGCATGATTGGTCAATGCAATATACCTATAAGCAGATAATGCCCCAGGTAAAACAGAAATATATCCAAATAATGATTCCAAAGGTTTATCTAAAATATTCGACATTTTATATTCGAAATTTTGTGATGCTACCAAAGGATTAGTTAAATTAATCCAACCTTTACCTTTCATAGCCTTGATTTCTCCGGCTGCTCCTGCAACATTAGAATCTCTATCAAAAGCTTTCCATAAATTATAAACTGCATGGTTATCAGGTTTAGTTCCAACATCCAACAATACAATAACGTTTGGATCTAAGATAGGACAAAATGCATTAAATAACCATCTATGACTGTTAATTTTCTTTTGATTGGTTTCTTTCAAACAAAAGATAACTTGAGCTGGGGCTAAATTCTTTTCATCTCCTTTAAATTTCAAGTTTTCATCAATTGAAATTTGGGTGGTATATTCGAATATATGAGCATTGACTTTCTTGTTATTAACATATGGTCTGGCTAAATTACCTTGATAAACTCCCGTAGCTGTTAATAATTCTAAAACTGAATCATTAACTTTATTTCTACCATCTGCTACAATCACCACTTGAATTTTCTTCCAACTATCTTTCCCCCAAACAGATGATTTGTTTCTTGAACATAAATGAGAAATGTTTTTCATAATAGCATGCATTGTTCTGGTGAATGCATGTTCATCTTCATTATACATGGTGACACAAATGACTAATTCGGTTTCTCTATTATATTTTTGAGCTCTTAAAGAAAATCCATCTTTAACAAAATCATCAGGTTCAGAAGTACATGCTGTATAAGTCATATTGGTGAATTCTCCAAATGGTGATTCTGTACGAGTCAAAACTTTTCTTAATTCTTCAGGTACTGGGTTTTCTAAGACTAAATGTCCAGCTTGACCATCGACTAACTTGACTTTTCTTTTGGTGATGGTTTTTTCTCTATTAGGTTGGAATCCATTTTTAATATTGTGCATCATATCAGAGTCAATTGAAGCCCCAAAATAACTTTGAGCTACTCCCGTACTTGAGCCATCTTCACTTGATCTATAGGCAGTGGAATCCGAATATAAAGATCTGGTTTCTTTATCATGTTGGTTTTCGTAAGCTTTATAATCATAATCATCATATACTGTACTATTTTCACTATCATTTTCTTCATATGGATTAGCTTCAGCATATGTTTCTGGGGAGAAAATTGGTTGTGGAGGTTCTAAAAACCTTTCACTTCTCCCACTCTTATAACTTCCTTGAGATGAAGAAAATGGATTTGGTGGTAATTGAATTGGTTCGATATCTTTTTCATCAATATCAATTTCTGTTTGTCTTTGACGTTTTGGTGATTCTCTAGAAGTAAATTGAGCTCTTGCCGTGGTTCCTGACATCAATATTGGTGATCCATTATTAGTTGGTTGTAATGATGGGGTTGGTTGTAAATTTGGTGGATTACTTATTAATGCTCTATTCATATTACCATTGATTCTACCACTTCTAGTGAAAATATCAGGTGAACGAGTTGGTGAATTGGAATTTGATTGTGGGAATGCTAAGAAATCATCATCCTCTTCAATATCATCTGGTTTATATCTCCTGGGTGAATTGTGATTGGTAAACGCAGCATTAGGATATGATGGTTTATCAATACTATCATCAAAGGGGTTACTCATCTTTGTTTGTTTTGAAAAATAATAATTTGAAAATAATTCTCACTATCGATAAGTAAGTTATTCCACCTATTTGATGACTTGTGTAGTGGAAACATCTTTGTATATATTTGAATCGTTTATGGTTTGTTTTTCTTGCACCCATTTTAGGTAATTTTGGAAAAACGTCGCGATGAATGTCTACGCGACAAAATATATCAAGATCGATTAGGATTTGAGTTCAATCATGTGAGTGATGAATTGATAAGAAGGTATTGGAGGTTCGTCAAGGATGGAATCGGTCTGAAGTTTTGGTAATGAACCCAAATTGGTTGAGTGTTCTCGAAATCGTTTAATATTTGGACATCTTGTAAGATGTCTCTTTTGTTGCAATAATGTCTCCTGTGTCGTATATACAGAAGATTCGAATTGGTTTCTTCCTTAGAGATTATCCAGCAAAGATTGTAGACATTCCAGGTGATATTTTGTTTCATTGGTGTATAAACTATATAATCGTACGATTTAAAACCATTTATTAGATGCACATCGAACAGAGATTCGAAAACCTCGAATTTCTCACAATTCCTAGGAATTCATGTCATCTTCTCAGTAACAAGTAAACGATATCTGCTCCAATTAGATTCTGATTTGCAGATCTCTCATTTCCTTGATGAATTAAAAGCTGCAATTCTGGCAGAAAAGTCTAGTTGAGGAGGAAGAACATGGTAAGGAACATATCTTAAAGTTGTTGGACTAAACTGAACGTGGCTAGATTCGAAGATGTTTTTACGACTAACAAATTTTTGAAGTGAAAGTGATCGAAAATCAACTTCAAAGGGTTCAATATCTGGATCGGTTGGAATAATAACCACTGTTTTAGGTTCTCTTTTCTCCCCATATGTTTTCTTGGTGTTGGAGACTTGACTCACGTTACTTAATTCATGGATATGTTGGTGGTTTTTTGAACTTCGAATAATGTCGGTTGATCTGGAACAGACATTCGAAGCTTCTTCCTCAGGTATAAACTCTACACTATCACCTTCCGAGCTACTCAGTATAAATCCGTCAGAATTGAGTTCGGTATAGTCTATGGATGGTTTAACTCGAAGGTTTCTTTTAACAGTTGATATTTCATTCATATTGACACGATCATCAATCTCCAAATCTTTCTTATCTCGAGACCTTTTCCGTCTCTTATGGGGTTTTCTCATCTTTTTTTATAATAATACTATGATATACAATTGGAGATCTTAAATTTGCAGCCGTATTAAATAAAGACACTTTGGGTTATTTGAGCTTCAAAATTCAGTTAGATTCCAAAGCTGGATCTTCAACACAACCTGGAACTCAATTTTAAGTTTTTGTGGTTTAAAGAGCTGCCTGGTTTCCTGACACAAATAGTTTCATTAATTGATTATGTAATCGAAGAATTTTGGTACTTCCAGAGAAGGAGTTCAAAGGAGATTGATATCAAGTTTGTAGAAGTAATGAATCAAAACATTCATACATCGTTTTGCCATCACCATAAAGAAGATCATCAATAACTCCCACCCTGTGTTTCCTAGTTTATTTGTGTGCAAACAAAGGGTTATGGCCACGAGCTTGACTTCAGTCGTATAACTCTTCGTCTGCCGTATGGGAATCAAAATGGCACATTATTTCATGAAATAGGATTCTGTCAGGAGGCCAGTTATCTGAATGACGTTTGATTTGAACCAATTTTAAAACCTCACCCAAAACATCTGCTACTATTTATCTTGGGCGAATCTTATCTCTCTCCACTTTCTACAATACTGACATGCAAACTTGGAAGATTTATTGCTCAAACGTATTCTTATCACCCGAGTGCCGGATTTTTGTCACCTTAGGCACCCCATGAAACACAAGATTCAAAATTGTAAATTACCAGAATATAAGAGAACGAAAGAAAACGTTCTTTGAATCAGTATGTATTATCAACAGAGATCTTTCGACTGAAGAGATGCTTAGTGTGGATCTACTCAACAAATATCAAGTAACAAAACACCATTGACTTTTTTTCTTCTTCGTCAATATTTCTTCGTCAATATTTTATTCACAAGACGTTTACTAACCTTTCCCTAACCTGTATCCCTAAAACTCAAGTATACCGTCCCATATAGATGGTTTCAATTAATGACAAGATTGTTTAAGCTTTTTGAATTTTTCATATTTTTATTTAAACTTTTTTTCATTATTTTTGCAAAATCTGTACAATTCAAAATAATCTTTTCAAGGTTAAAAAAATACTTAAAAAAACCGACATTTAACGATAATTTGTCAGAACAGGAACCAAAGTACACATCGAGACTTTAGACCACGAGACGAAAAAAGTTTGATTAAGGCATACATATATAGCTAAAAGCCAGAGAACAGTGATAAACACCTATATAAATTTGAAGTTAGTATTATGCTCCTTTATACTTTCAACAAATTTGCAACGAGTAAAATAGTTATGAATTCACCATCTCCTTTGATGATACATGACTTAAGAGTGAAGCTTTAATTCTCTAATGATATAAAAAGCAAGTGGAAATTTTCCTTCCTGAATATATTACAGCGATTCCCTGAATTTAAAAGAGGAATGGAACTTTGAAGTGAACCTCAATTTCATCTCTGCGGTTATCAACAGATTTCAATTTACTTTATCTAAGTTCTTCAATTGTTCCTCAATTTCAAGCTCTTCTCTCAAACTACGTTCTTCCGCAGCTTGAATCTGCTTTTTCGTAACTTGAATTAGTTGCTTCTTAGCTAGAAGATATCTCTTCAAGATTTCTTTCAATTCCGGACAAAGAACAAGCGAACTAATTTGAGGAAGATTCACAGATCGAGGCACATCAATAGTTTGGGGTTTGTTAGCAGGTTGAGGAGGAAGTGAAACTGGATTCTTCGGTATACAAGAACCAGAACCCGTCTCGACATTAAAGCGATGAGTAAGTTGTTGATTGATTTGGGATACTTGCTGATTCGATAAAACTGGAGGATTCACATCTTCATTGCCGAGTTCATGAAGGGGAGGTTGTTTTTGAAAAATAATTCTAACTCTTTTGAGACTTCTGGTTGTTCCATCCAATTGTGAACCCTTTATTTCACTTAAATCTCTTGCGCGATTCTCGACAGAATTCAAAACTTCTCCGTTTACCAAAATTTCTGTATTGACTCCTTCTACACCTTGTCTTGATGCTGCGGGATCAGATAACATTCCAGATTCATCACCACCGGTGATGAAACGTGTATCAGAGGGGACATTTTGTGGCTGAGAAACCACATTGAGCTCCTCACCAGGATTCGCTCTGGAGGCAACATTAGCACTAATATCTAGATTTCCATCTAATTCGGGGTTCAGTTGTATTTCAGTAGCTGGGATTTGACGAGTAAGTGACAAATTATTGGCGTTGTTATCAGCTTCTGAGCCACTTCTTCGAGGTTTTCGAGTACTAGGATTTGATAGTAAAAGGATACTGCACCAAAAACTAAACATTGCTGCAAGTAATATCATCATAGTAAATACACGAAGAAGGTCAGTTTGAAGGTCAACATTGTGAACCTGTGGTTCTTCATCACTGGGAGCATCAATTATCATATTTCCTAACCTTTTGTTAGCAGGATTTCGAACAGCTTGGGGAATTGAGACTTGGGGACCCTCACCAACATTTCGATGAAAATTGGCTCTTTGGGGTCTTAATTCATTACCGACTTGGTTTTCACCAGTCTCATCTAATTGAGGATCTCTTACTCCAATGACCAAAGGTCTTTGCTTGTTATTTTGGCTGTTTTCCATGGTTGAATTCATGAAGCTGATGTATCGCAGGGGATTCAATTTTTTTGATTTTTTTTTTTCGAATTGGCGTGATGTAAAACCTCGCAGAACTCGATATCAATTATTAAGCACTTAATTTCTCCTAATTAACTATCTGTTGTTCAGAAACTTCTATTTTAAAGTAACTGACCAAGTATCAAATTAATTTTTGATTTAACCGCTTGTTGCAAAAAGTTTACAAATCGCGACTCTGTTCATTTTTGCAACCTTTTCAAAATCCAAATCCAAACTAAGCTATATTTCATAGTTCGAGAAGTTGGTAGAGTCCAAAAAAGATACGTAGGGTATTTTTGGTTATATACAACTCTTTCGTTCAATATTTTGCAAGAGATTTTCCAGTTCTCTTTCTCTTTTTCACTATATATAAAAATGAACTCTGGCATTTTCACGAGAGCACAACTGTTTTAATACAGGCTATTCCTCAATTATGAAGGATTTTCATTTTTTGGTGTTTTCGACATGTTTTCACCAACTCATCATCGACTTTCTC